ATTATATTAATATCCCTTTATTTCCAAAAATTGTTAATGGAAGTCGTTTTTATAGTCAACTAGGGTATCTGTATCAGCTATCTCAAACATTACATTAGTGTGGGGACAAAAAATTATTGTACTAGGGGATAGTTTTAATCATCATGATAGATTATAAACCAATGATATTATCTGAACTGTATCAATTATAAAATTGACAATAACTTTGTTTCTGTGAAGTATTGGCATGTGCAATATTATTAATCAATTTAGCTTGTATTGAATTAGACTTTTTCGATGTAGTCTCCCATTCACGAAAATTATTAAGATGTTTTTCTATCTCTTTAAATTGTTGAGATGATATTTTACAAAATAAAAATACTATTAGAATTTAAAAATGATAATTACCTTTAGGTGTTTTTTGAGGTTATAGCTACTAGATTTACTTGAGGACAGAGTTGTTAACGCTCCTTTTTAAAGGTAGCTAGCTCCTGGTCCAAGTAATGCAGTGCCACTCCATAACCGCTCCTTTGATTTTCATGAGCAATTGTAGAGTTAGGAGATTTATCACTAGGCAAGAATAAGTTCGTTATAAATAGAGATTTATTTAAAAAATATTTGTTTAATATATTATCTTCCTGATGATCAATTTCATGAAATCTAAAAAAATCTTCCAAATCTTTGTAGGATGCCCGTGAACTAGTAGCTATTTTTGCATTAGGTATTTGTTTTCTTAAAAAATTGATCACTTTATATTTTATTTTGTGGATTTTTTATATTCCTAATATAATTTGAATGCAGGATGGACAATAGCTGCAATAATATCATCATTATAAACATTTGGAAATCTGCAATAAAGTTTTAAATAGATGTGATTTATTATTTATTATAAACCTTTTATTAATACCGCTTATAAGAGACTTTACAAGAGGTTGGCAAAACTCTAAATCTGCTAAGTCGCTTAATTTTGAAAAGTTTAGAAATGGTTGGAGTTAGGAAACCTATATCCATATGAAGCTCCCCTTCAAAGATTTTTAGAGCTTTTTTCAAAGGTTCCATAACCTAAAATTTATTTATTTCACTAAGATAACAATTATATCAATATTTGGCTATACTCTTTAATATTACGTTCTTGAGAGTTAAAATGTATAAACCCGTGGTTATCACATAACTCATCAAAGTCCTTTTGTTTTTCACCTAATATTTTATCTAACAAAACCATAGATTCAATTCCACTTAGTGGAATTTGGGCATATTAGATACCTACCCAATTTTTTGAGCCATATTAGCAGACATGTTTTGTTTATTCCATAAAGATTGAGACATTTGGATGGAACTTTGTTATATTATTTCAAAACTCCTATCAGCTAAAGCTTTCTCTGCATTAACTGTGGCAACCAAAATGATATTGTGGCAGGCACATCGTGAATGTTGTGGAAGATAATCATAGCTTTCTGTCCTGTTATTTAGAATGTCAACATCCACAAATTGGAAATCCTCATCCATCTCAGAACCTTTATCTTCAAACATTCTAAAAAAATAGGGAAGTTATAATTTTAAAATAAATAATTAAGATTACCTGAATACTTTCACAAAGTTTCTACCATTATCAGTAATGATTTTTATTACCTTGTTCTGAATTTTGAAACTTATATGTATATCAATAGTTGGCCAAAACATCAAAAGTGCAATCAGTTGTGGTACACACATAAGATACTTTAGAAATCATTTTTATAATATCATCTATCATTTTATCATAACGCCAACTTATCTTTGCTACTAGCGTTTGGCAGCACATCACCAGGGGGAAAATGTTTTTATTATTTTGACAAAGTTAGGATTGTCTACAGTTGATAATGGAACTAGTGTTTCAATGACATAATCAGTGATTGTATTATCTCCTTCAGTTTTTGTAGGTTCATAATTTTTTTTGACTAAAATATAATAGTGACTGTTTTTTTTTCTCAGAAGACTTTATTTTCTGGCTAATATCTTTTTTATTATAACTATTGATATGATTTTCAATTTTTGAATATTGATTAACATGTACTCTTTAAATATAAATTAAAATTTGTTTTATAAAAATCAACTTTATTTTTAACTAATAATCTAAAACATCAAATTATTAAGGTAGATTTTTTTTTAATAATAAAAGGACAAATATTTAATGGGCAGTATAAAGTCTATTTTTGGGTATTTTTTTTTATATTAATTTGTAAGTTTTCTTATTATTTGTTTTACTGATTAATATAAAAATAATCTTTTTTCAAGTTTCTATATTGTTAATAAAACGTTAAATAGTTGATCTAAATAGAATATGAAAAAATTAAATTAAGATTAAATAAAATATAAATTGATTAACATAATAAAATGTATATTTTTAATTTGGATGTTACAATTCTTGGAGTATATTCAACTATTACAGAATGCTGACTGTACTAGTGGCTATGAATGGTTGGAAGCATTACCAAGTCGTAACCTAGGTAACCTCTTATCAGATGAACAATTAAGAGTTGCCATAGGCCATCGACTTGGATGTAACATTGTTCAACCACATACATGCATCAAATGTAAAACATTAGTTGACTCCAAAGGGAGACATGGTCTAAATTGTATATATAGTCAAGGCAGGCATGCAAGGCATGCAGCAATTAATTTAGCTATTAGCCGTTCTCTTACCAGGGCCCGAATACCAAACATCCTGGAGCCTACAAATTTATCGTTAGATGATGGCTTAAGACCAGATGGTTTAACTTCCGTGCCTTGGTCTTTAGGGAAATCCTTAATTTGGGACTTCACATGCGTATCTTCTTTCCCAAAAAATTTAAATTCTAATCCGGTTGATATAGCTGAGAAAAAAAAAACAATGAAATATTCCAAATTCACAAATTATATTTTTACACCGATTGTCATCTCTTCCCTTGGACATATGCCAAGTGGAACTTTAAAGTTTTTAAAAAATATAGGGGATAAGATAAGAGCCCTTACATCAGAACCTAAAGAATCTTATTTCTTAAAACAAAACCTCCAAATCATAATTTTAAAATATAACTACACATGTTTTTTGGGAACTTGTAGTCCCACCTCGGTTTTTATATAATATTTTATTTTATTTATTTTATATTATTTTAATTTAGTATGATATATATGTAGTTATTATTGATATAATGGAAATATATTTATGAAAATAAAAGTAATATCTTGATTTAAAAAAAAATTCAATTAAGTAAAGTAACCATGTTAATATGAAATAAAAATACTTTAAGTTTAAAAAAAAATGTATAAAAAAGGAGGTTGAAAAAGTAATGAGAAATTAAAATATATTTAAAAAAGCATCATATCATATCTAGCAACCTAAACTCAATTATTATGAATTGCCCCAAAATAATTATAACCAGTTTAAAAAAATTATTCCAAAATAATAAAATACAGTTATCATTTTGTATTTAAAAGAAAGATTTTTTACTTTTACATGCTTTTTTAGATTGAAGCTGCTCATTTTTGAAATTGAAATAGTTTTCTTTAGACACAAAAGGCATTTTGCCCTTAAATTTGTTTGATCATTTGGATCAACATCTTTTAGAAGTTTAAAATATTTTTTGTATGATGGAAATGGAAATTCAGTTTCTTCTTCTAAGATCTCTAAATATATAATATCTAAAACTATTTTTTATTATATATCTATAAAATGAATTTTATATGACTTACAAGATTTTCCAAAAACTTTTCAATATTAAAAAAATTTAATAATGAATAGATTAAAAACCAATATAAAACTCGGCTCAACTTTTGTTAATGGAAAAATTTAAATAAAATTTCATTTTAATTAAGAAATATTATATATTTAAAAATTTAAAGGGGCAGTGCAGCGGTTCTCCTCCACTCCACCCTAAAGGGAGCTAGCTCCAGTTCCTTATTTTTTAAAAAAAGCGCGCCAGGTGTTTTTGAAAAAATGTAGCGGCACTCCAGGAGCGCTGTTCTCTAACTCCTCTGCTTGAGGATATATTTTTTTACAGTTTGAACAAATTGTATTGCTAATTTGAAAATATTTTACAATTTTGGATATTATTGTTATCAAGAACATTTTCTACCAGGGCACCTTTCATTTCATTAATATCATAATTTGACTAACTTACATCGATTTGGATATCAATTTGCGATGGAATTTATAATAATTTACATCAGATGAATTAGTTTTATAATACAAATTGAAAATATAAATTTTAGTTTCAAAATTTAATAATAAATATAAATAATTATATTATATTTAAATTTTCATGTTTATAGTTATATTCCTAACGCGCTACTTGGCTACTTTCAAAAAAGGGAGCACGCTGAAACAATAAATAATTGGAAAAAGGTGGCGTGCTATTAGCTATCGCTACTAAAAAATTAACAGCTCTGATTTTAGCCAAAAATATATTAACTATGCCTCAAGATTTGGTCAAATGTGTGTCGACACTTTTTGCTATGTATATGCAAAATCTCGAGATTCAGATAATATATTTTTTGCTAAAATCTTGATTTTGCCATTTTTAAAAGTGACAAAAAATACTTTTCTATTTTTAATATTATATGGTATGTGTAATATTTATATTGGGCGCAATCTATTTTTAATTTATACTTTTTTAGTTATTAATTTCTGTAAAATGTACATTTATAACATCAAATAATTTTGCCAACTAATACTTTTGGTGGTCATTTTGTATTTTATCTAAGGAAATTATGATTTACCAATATTTATTTTTTTAAATATCAGGCAATAAATTTTTACAAAAAGATGACAATCCCTGGTTTCTAGAGTTCAGTACAGCTTAAAGGCTTAGGGTTTTCGATTTTAAAAAAGGTTCATTTAATAAATTAGCTTGTGGCTTGATTAGAAACCATGTTTTTATTTTTGAAATATAAAGGTAAAATTCTTAAATATATCATTTTCACATGGTAATTTAATTATAGTATTAAAAAATAATGGTAAGGTTCTTATGATGTGACTACACAATTTAAATAATATAAGCTTTCTTTATTTTAATTATATCTAGTATCCAATATAGATCATAAAAAAATGATAAATTTGGATTCACAGAATCATTATAAATATTTAATTTTCATACTTCATCTGATCATAATATATTGATTTTAATCAGTATAAATTTTTACTATACATATTATACAATTATATATTAACAATATTATTTCCTATGCGGCTAAATAACGCTGCTATTCTATCTATTCCTATACTTTTTCTCCACTTATCAGTTAAATATGCTTCTAATAAACAACTGTTGTCAAAGGTTTTGCCACATAAATTAAAAAAATTTTGGTTGGTCATGTTTTTATCAATATAAATTGGAAAGAAAAAATGAGCACTTTTAAAAGGAGAATCATTCTGATCACAAATTGAATGAAAAATTAAAGCAGTTTTTCCTGAAATATTTTCTAATCCAATAATAATAAATACTTTAACATCTTCATTTTTATATTTAGTTAACATTTGTACAATTTTCAATTTTTGTTCATCAATATTGGAATTATATAACAAAGTATTTAGATTGATAATTTTGTCCAATTCTTGAATTTTGTTATTATTTTCTTGATAAATGTTAGATATAATTTTTCCTAATGTTTTGGCTAATAATAAATTTTTTGTCTCGTAATTACTGCTTTTCATAAAAATAGTAGAATGGTGTTGGTCAAGATTAGGTTTTTTAATTTTTAAATCTGGAGATGTTTCAGCTATAATTACAATAGATGGTGAATTAGGTTCAGATTTTTCTATTTTTGATAAAATAGCTGATTTAATAATTTGCAATTCTCTAGTATTCATATTTTTAAATGTTGAGGAGTCCTTTATATTTTTATCAAATTGAGATATAAACTTTGAAGATATATTTGGTTGAAAGGTATCATTTTTAGAGAATAGATTTATTGGTAAAATGGCAAATATAATTAAAATGACAAGTACACAATATAATCGGTTTGCATATATATAACTTACTTTTTGATATAACCAATTTATCTTTAAAAGTTATAATTTTTACAATAAATATTTACTTATCAATTTAGATATGTTCTTTTTATAATCCAATTCCTTATTTAAAAATCTTCCATCTATATGTTATAAATTTATTTTAAAAAATTATGATAAAAAAGATACCAATTGATTGATTAATTTGTGGCAATTTTCGATTTTTTGGCAAATTATTTATATTGGCAAATTTTCGATTTTTAGCTGTATCATAAGAATAAGACTTCATTATATTTCCATATGTAAATGAGGTATCACCTTTATTGAGCGTTAAGAAGTCTGCATCTACACAATCTTTATCAGGATCTACCTCTTTTTCTGTATGAAAATCTTCGTCAAGATCCATAAAAAAATGAACGCCTTTATTTAGCAATAAATGGTGTCATATAAAGTTATTTTATTTTTTTATTCAACACGCTTGTTTTTTTTTCTTTAACAAATAAATATTAAAAAAAAGTTGTTTATTATTTTTTTTAATAAATTTTTTTTACGTATTTTTTTTTTGGTTACAGATTAAATCATGGGGAAATTTTCATATATTATTTTTTTTTTGATATTTTTTTTTAAATTTTTTATTTATTTTTTTTAGATTGTCTGGATTTTGGTAGAAATTTTTGAATGTTACCTTTTTCTTTCAATTGGCGTATTTTTAGATTTTTTTTTTGATAAATAAATATCGTGTGGATTTTGAAGGAAATTTTTTGATACAATATCAAAGTTTTTTAAAACATTGTATATATGTTATGTTTATTCAAATAAATTGATTAATTATTTAGTATACCTATTTTTATTAAATTCTTAAATATACTCTGTTTAAATATACTTTTTTTTCTAAATTCTTAAATATACTCTTTTTTCTAAATTCTTAAATATACTCTTTTTCTAAATTCTTAAATATACTCTTTTTTTCTAAATTCTTAAATATACTCTTTTTTTCTAAATTCTTAAATATACTCTTTTTCTAAATTCTTAAATATACTCTTTTTTTCTAAATTCTTAAATATACTCTTTTTTTCTAAATTCTTAAATATACTCTTTTTTTCTAAATTCTTAAATATACTCTTTTTTTCTAAATTCTTAAATATACTCTTTTTTTCTAAATTCTTAAATATACTCTTTTTTTCTAAATTCTTAAATATACTCCTTTTTTCTAAATTCTTAAATATAATCTTTTTTTCTAAATTCTTAAATATACTCTTTTTTTCTAAATTCTTAAATATAATTAAGATTTTTTTAAAATTTAAAAAAAAATAATAAATAAAAAAATATATTTAAAAAAAAACATATTTTAAAAAAAATAAATAAAAAAAAATATTAAAAAAAAAAATAAAAAAAAAATAATATATGAAAATTTCCCCATGATTTAATCTGTTACCTTTTTATCTAGTGGTAATTTTAAAATTAATGCTTTTATTTAATATATTTTTATTTAATATATTTTTATTTAATAGGAATTAAGGTATAATTTAGAACTAAAAGATTTTTCTACTTTAAAACAGTTTGTGAGTAATTATGAGAAGAATACCTTTTCAAATTATTATATTTAAAACATATTCCAATAGTATGGACCACAATTTATAACCCAGATTGAAATTTTATTTTTCAAATATATAATATTCATGAAAAGTTATTAATCTAATAATTGTTAAAATTTTTTATAGATGTTTATTTAATCATGAATAGGTTTTTATTATTGTTATAAATAGTTTTATTATTTTTTTGTATGAGTCATGAAATTTTAGTTTCGCGCAGTCATCTTGAACGTCATTATATAAATGTTTTTAATATTTATTATGTAAAAAAAAAAATAAATAATAATTTAATATTTATAAAAAAAAATAATCTTATATAAACTAAAAAAAAAGTGGAAATTCATTATTAATCAATTATATTTTTTTTATATTTATTGTTTTAAAGAAAAATAAAACCAATATATTCAAAAAAAAAGGGGTAAAAAAAAATATACTGTTAAGTTAAACGTTTCTGTACGGTGAAATTTTGTGAAATTTTGAAATTGGTGCCGTGTTTATACAAAGCAACCTGGTTAGTGCGGTTGTCGTAATATCATATAGTGGTATTTGAGTCTTCGAGTGGAAAATATCATATAGTGGTATTTGAGTCTTGAAGTGAAGTGTACATCGTCTTCATCTACATCTACGGTAAAATATCATATGGTGGTATTTGAGTCTTCGAGTGGAAAATATCATATAGTGGTATTTGAGTCTTGAAGTGAAGTGTACATCGTCTTCATCTACATCTACGGTAAAATATCATATAGTGGTATTTGAGTCTTCGAGTGGAAAATATCATATAGTGGTATTTGAGTCTTGAAGTGAATTGTACATCGTCTTCATCTACATCTACGGTAAAATATCATATAGTGGTATTTGAGTCTTCGAGTGAAAAATATCATATAGTGGTATTTGAGTCTTGAAGTGAATTGTACATCGTCTTCATCATCGACATCAGCTGTCCATTTATTTTTTTTTCTTTTCTCTTCTCTCTCAAAATAAAAAAAAAAAGTCTTATCGTACGGAAGTGCTGTCCGAATTTTACGAGTTGTAAATCTGTTACACAAAATTTGCCCAAATTTTTGTCGTATCTTTAGACTTATTAACTGTAGATGTACATGTGTATTATTGGGTTGTTTACACTATTAATAATATCATATCTATTAACATTACAAATAACAAAAATTTTTATTTTGAAATTAATTATAAATTTTTTATAAGGTCGAAATGAAAAGTTTAAAATTTGTAAAATACTGGGAAATACAGTATAATATTTTTGGGGCATTGGTTATATTAGTAATATGGATGTGTAGCTTAATATGGGGAAGAAAGTTGAGAAGAAGTCGAAGTGTGAAAATAAAGGGGCAGACATTGACTATAGAAGGACATAATGGGGAAGAGGATGTTATGGGAAAGGTAACATGGTTCCCAGTGCAGGAGTTAATTAATGGGTGGACGGATAGCGAATTAGATAAATTAACCTATAGGCCTGAAAGGAGAGATTCATATACTAATCAGAGATTGGGGACATATAGGGGACCTAGAGAAAGTTCACAGGGAAGGAGAGGAGAAATGAGACCCAACTTTGATTCAAGAGTAAGGGGGAGAATGAATTGTTATAATTGCGGAAGACAGGGACATATGGTCAGAGATTGCCAAGAAACGAAATGTTTTGAATGTGGAAAATATGGACATATAGCCACGTTTTGTTCAGGAAGACGTGATAAGCTACGATGTGCAGGTTGTGGTCGATTTGGTCATAATAGGGAGGAATGCAATGTGGGTAATTTCAAAACTAGAGGCGGTTTTCCGCAGAGGGACATGGGGCAAAGTGCTCCAAATGTTAGAATTATAGAAAGTGAAAAAAATAAAGAGGTAGGAGTACCATTTTTGGCTGTGAATAAAGAGCAGAATAGAATCTGTTTCCGTTGCCGGAAGGAAGGACATGGGGCGAGAGATTGCGAGTATTTGTGACTATATGATGGCAAAGAGCATGCCGCAAAGGTCGGGGGGCTTTGGGCGAAAGAGATGGAAAGATTAGATTATAGTGAGAAAGATTGGGTATCAAAGGGCATATATATGATACAAGAGGAAAGGATACATGATCCTTGCCCTAGAGTTTGGATAAATTTGAATGGAAATATGGTATCCATGTTATTTGATACCGGGGCAGCCATATCCGTGATGGGATATGAGAAATATCAGAGTATTTGGTCGGAATGGATAATTAAACGGGAGGACATCAAGATCCGTCAATAGGATGGATCAGAAGTCGCAGTGATGGGAAGGGTGGAGTTAAAGGTGGTATTAGAGAATAGAGTGGAGATTTTGGACTTATGGATAGTAGATCGAAAAGTAGAGTCAGTAGTGGGATGGGATTGGATCACCCGAATTGGTCCAGATTGTGGTTTTTGGGGGGTATTCGCATGGTGTGGTGTATTTTTACCTGTTGCAAGATATGAAGAAAATAGAGATATGAATTTGTGGTATGGAGAGAGATTGCCAGGAATTGAAACCTTTTTGGAAGGGGAAAGGAGAAGAGAGGATAATAGGGTTGTTAGAGACTGTAGGGGAGGTTTTGGGGGGAACTATAGGGGAGGTTTTGGGGGGAACTATAGGGGAGGTTTTGGGGGGAACTATAGGGGAGATATTGGGGGGAATTTTAGGAGAGGTATTGGGGAGAATTATAGGGGAGGTATCGGGGGAAACTATAGGGGAGGTATCGGGGGAAATTATAAGGGAGGTTTTGGGGGGAACTATAGGGGAGGTATTGGGGAGAATTTTAGGGGAGGTATTGGGGAGAATTTTAGGAGTTGTCGCGACTTTGGGAGAAAGGAAGAAAGAAATGATACTGAAGAACTGAAAGAAATTCATGATCAAGGAAAGTTTGAAGCGGAGCTGGAGAGATTGGCAGATGGGAAAATAATGTTGCCAGAAGAAGAGACTAGAGAAGATGATGATTTGGAACAAGGAAATACTAAGGGAACACATAGCCAACAAATGGAAATGGATGGAAAGGAAACGAGACGACGGGAAGAGAGGGAATTGCGGGATAGAGAGATAGAATTTGGTATGATCAAAGTACAAGAGGGAGTGAGAAACTTGATGAAAAATTACAAGGAGATTTTTGATGAGAAGTTGGGTTGTCTCCGAGATTATGAAGTGGATATCAAATTAAAGGAGGGATATGTGCCCAAGTTTTGTGCATTACGTCGGATACCGTTCGAATGGCGAAATGAAGTAGACAAGGAATTGGAGCAGTGGGTGCAGAAGGGCATTGTTTGTCCAGTGGAATATAGCGAATGGGCAACACCGTTAGTACCCGTGAAGAAGGCCAATGGAAAGCTTCGTTTATGCGCTGATTTTCGGGTCACGCTAAACCCGTGGGTTGTGGAGATAAAATATCCGTTACCTCGGATTGAAGAAATATTAGCTAATTTAAAGGGTAGCATATATTTTTCAAAGGTGGACTTTTCGAACGCTTACTTACAATTGAAGGTGAAACCCGAGGTACAAAAGCTATTAACGATCACGACTCCGAAGGGATTGTATGCCTTCTGTAGATTGCCGTTTGGACTTAGCGTGTCGGCTCCAATTTTTCAACGAACGATGGCGGCAGTTTTTCAAGGACTAGAGGGAGTATTTTACTACATGGATGACGTATTAGTGATGGGAAAGACTCCCGAGCAACACGAACGAAGATTGGAGGAGGTGTTCAAAAGGATCAAGGATAAAGGATTGCGGGCAAGCGTTGAAAAAAGTGTGTTGGGAGTATCAGAAATCGTATATTTGGGGCATAAAATCAATGGGAAAGAGGTCAGACCTTTAGACAAAAATATGGCAAATATAACAAGCATGTTGAAGCCTAATAATAAAGTGGAAGTACAAGCTTTCTTGGAAATGGTGAATTATTATCACCGTTTTGTGGAAGGCTTCGCGCAGATAGCGGCGCCGTTGTATAAATTGTTAAAGAAAGGAGAAAGATTTGAATGGAAGATTGAACAGGAGGAGGCTTTTGAGGAGTTGAAATTGAGGATTGGAAGGGAACCAGTACTAGTGTGTTTTGATAACGATGTGCCAGTGATATTGGCCGTTGATGCTTCGAATAGGGGTGTGGGTGGAGCGCTATTACATTGTATAGACGAATTGGAGAGACCTATTTTATTTTTCTCAAGAATCTTTAGAGAGGCCGAGACAAGATATTCAGTGATCGAGCAAGAAGCGCTAGCGGTTATATTTGGATTGACTAAATGTCGGGAATACTTGATCGGACGTCGATTTGTCATATATACGGATCACAAGCCCTTGGTTCATCTTTTCAGGAAGGACAACAAGGAGCTCATGTTGTCGCCTAGGTTGCAGAGATGGCTATTGCTGGTAGGCAGTTTCGACGTGCAAGTGAAATACCGACGAGGAAGAGAAAATTACTTACCGGATATTCTTTCTAGATGTGGAGCGGGAGAGGATTGCGAAACGAGTAGGTCGAAAGATATGGATGAAGAGGATGAGCACGGGTTGATTAGAGCGATAGTCGGAATATCTAAATGAGGACCAGTTGCATGGGAACAACTCAAAAATGCTACTTTAAAAGATCGCGAGTTGACGAGAATCAAAGCGTGCATATTGGGTCGGAAGCAATGGCGAGATGGGGACAAAAAGTTCAAGCAAGTGGAGAAAGAGCTAACGATAGTGGACGAGTGTGTGGTACGAGGAAGTCGGGGAGTGGTGCCGTCCAGATTGCGGGAGGCAGTAAAGGCAATGATCCATGCTGGACATCAGGGTATGGAACGAATGAAACAATGGGGGCGGGAATACGTATGGTGGCCTGGCATGAATAAAGAAATCGAGAATATGGTGAGAAGTTGTGAAATGTGTAATTCATGGGCAAGTATGCCTCGAAAGGACAAGAAAAGTATTTGGCCTAGGGCTACTCAACCATGGGAAAGAGTACACTTAGACTTTTTCGACTTCGAAAATAAAATATATCTCCTCGTAGTGGACGCTTACTCAAAATGGGTAGAGTATCAAGAAGTAAAGGGGTTAACAACGCAAGTAGTAATTAAGACGTTAAAAGATCTTTGGGCAAAGTTTGGGGTAGCGGAAATAGTCGTGTCGGATGGAGGACCCGCTTTTATAAGTAAACAATTTAAAGTTTTTTGTACTGAAACTGGGGCGAGACACATTTTGGCGCCTCCTTACCACCCAAGCTCAAATGGGCAGGCGGAAAGGATGGTGGCGGTGGTAAAGAGTTGGTTGAGGAAGTCGAAATATGGGGGTGGAGAGATTTGGATAGCGATTGCGTATTATAACAATAGTCGAAAGGGAGAGGAATTGTCCCCAGCAGAAAAGTTTTTGGGCCGTAGAACTCGTATTCAGTTGGATTTCTTAAGACCCAAACCGGCGCAGGAGGAAAATTCAATGGATAATCAGTGTGAATTTGTGAATGGTCAGACCGTATGGGCGAGAATTTTTGGAGGTACCCGAAAATGGGAGTCAGGAATAATTATACAGAACATGGGGCATAAAATGGTGAGAGTAAAATTCGTGGACGGAAAGGAAGGAGTTAGACACGTAGAACAGATACGGAAGAGAGTAGAGTCTGAAAGATTGAGATCTAGCCATGATGCGGCGAAGAGAGAGGGATAGATATCTTAGCAATTCTCGAGTTAAAGCACATAGAAAATAATAATACTAATAATGATAATTAACCCAAGATGATAATACCTCCGCAGTTCCGAGATTAAATCGAGAGAGGGATAGATATCTTAGCAATTCTCGAGTTAAAGCACATAGAATAATAAATAATTACATTTTGATTTTATGTACAAAACCCCCTTGTTTATCTTTGTTAAACAACAATTTTAATTTTTTTTTTGTTCAAGGGTTTTCATTTAATGGGGGCGTGTTATAAATAGTTTTATTATTTTTTTGTATGAGTCATGAAATATTTTTTTGTTTGAAATTTTATTTTTAATATTTTTTTTTAGTTTCGCGCAGTCATCTTGAACGTCATTATATAAATGTTTTTAATATTTATTATGTAAAAAAAAAAAAAATAATAATTTAATATTTATAAAAAAAAAATAATCTTATATAAACTAAAAAAAAAGTGGAAATTCATTATTAATCAATTATATTTTTTTTATATTTATTGTTTTAAAGAAAAATAAAACCAATATATTCAAAAAAAAAAGGGGTAAAAAAAAATATACTGTTAAGTTAAACGTTTCTGTACGGTGAAATTTTGTGAAATTTTGAAAATTATAATCTTTTGATACTATTAAAAATGTAATATTTCATTATATAAATTAACCTTGATGCAATTTTGTCATAATATTCGTTTAATAAATTTAAAAAAATTAATGTTAATAAAGTAAAACAACCTATATATCCTGGTACACCAGAATTGTTATACTTTTCATATTTATATAGATGCATGGCCTAAGCTTAATGTTCTAAGATTTATAAATACAATTTTTTATTTTAATCATGTAAGGTGAATGTAATATCAAAATTTACTAAATAATATTTATTCAGTTTTATATTTTATATATAAAAGTAAAATATTTTTGTTAGCTTATTAAGACATGGTGACAGATTTCTTAATCAAATCCCAAATATGCTATTATTTTTTTACATAACATAAAAATAAATTGGCTGAAAGATATACTAAAATAAATTGCAAGGGACTTGTGAAAAACATGAACATCAATGTCTACAGCTTATTCTTATGCCATTGAATTAAAATCCAGGAAAGGCTTCAAATTTTGATCTCTTCAATAAATTGTTTCAAATAATTCTTAATTTTATAACTTTGCTAATTATGTTACCCCTATTATTTCTATTTATAGGATTTTCACAACCTGTTTTATACTTTGTTTAAATCATTCAAACCTAAAAATTTACTTTATTTAATATTTATTATATTGTGTAATTTTTATATTATTTTTAATGGTGATCAGGCATTGCAAAAAACTATTCTATGAATCCTCCTATGAATATATCTTAAACAATATAATTTAACATAAAGAATTATTTTTATTGTTTTTTTTGTCAAAAATATTGAATGTTTGTTATTTATAATTATAACACAAGAATCTATTTTATATTTTTTATTCTATATTTTAGAAATATATAGAAATAAAATTTGTAAGAACACAATAATATATTATAATTCTATATATATATAATTAAAATTATGTATTATAAAATACAATAATATAATTGTAAATATATATACAGAAATAAAATTTGATATAATAGAATACAATATAAATTATAAATTGCTTTTTATTAGGTTTTTGAAATCTTGATTGTATTGTTTTCTGGAAGCTCTATTAGATTGTATTTGGTTCCAATATATTTTTAAATTTAATATAAACATTCTAAATATATAATAACTATTTGTTTTATTTATGGTTTCCTAAAAAAATTTTGAAAGATTTTGAAGAGAATATCCAGTGTAGTCTAAAGTTTTGGTTGCTATAATTTTTGTTATATAAAATAACGGAAAAATGTTTACTATTTATTTGGTAGCTTAATTTGAGTGCCTAAGATATTTTTTGAAATATTTTGAGATGAAGAGAATTCGAATGCTATTTTTATTTTATATTTAATAAAAATTAAAACACAAAATATACTAGCTGTAATAGTTTTTGACTGAGGGCCTAAATTTTTAGGTATATTTTAAAAATGATATTGGGAATATAAGTTTGTTGCTATTTTTTTTGTTATATTAAATATAGAAAAGTAAAACTGATCTTAACTTGAGTGCCTAACATATTTTTTGAAATAATTTGAGATGAAGATAATTTGATTGCCAATGTATTTTAATAAACAATAAACATTTAATTTTTAGTTATAGCATATAGTTGAGTGTTTTCTGTATTGGAAGCTGGTAGGTTAATCGTTTCAGTCATATTTTGATTAGCTTGGGAAAAATCTTTTTTTAAAATACATGTATATTATAATATCATTTTCAAAATTTGCTAACTGTGAAATATTTTATAAAATTAATAAAAATCTTTTAGTTCTAAATTATATCTTAATTCCTATTAAATAAAAATATATTAAATAATAAAAGCATCAATTTTAAAATTACCATTTTTTCCATTAGATAAAAAAAATACGTAAAAAAAAATTTATTAAAAAAAATAATAAACAACTTTTTTTAAATATTTATTTGTTAAAGAAAAAAAAACAAGCGTGTTGAATAAAAAAATAAAATAACTTTATATGACACCATTTATTGCTGATAAATAAAGGAATCTTGCCATAAAAAAAAAGACAAACATGTCAAATTGTTAGACACTATAGCATGTCATCTAATTAAATCACAGATTATTAATATAGATGGTAGGATAAGCACTCGGAGTACAGAATAATAATTATTATATAACAATTACATTAGAATTATGTTTATTTATAAGATTTTTTTTTGGTTCGTCTACTTTTTTATGAAATGAAATATTTGATAAGAAATTTCATGTAAACCAAAACTAATAACCACCATTAATAGGTTTCTTTTAATTCTTTAATTTTTTTTCCTTTAGAGTTCATATTCATCACAAAGTAACCAAAAATAGAACAACAAATAAACTAATTTGCAGAAATCTCTATAATAATTATTTATTGCCAATAATCTATGTTCAACTTTAAAGAGTTACCGTCATTTTTTTTTAATCAAACGGACTTGCCAAACAGTGAATTCAAATCCACAAGTACCAACATTCCTCTTTAATTAAAACAGGTCCTGACAACAATAGAGTAAATTACGGTAAACAGTGGATGCAAATCCACTATACTGGAGACTCTTTCTAAAAGGCTGCGATAGCTCCATATTGTGAGTTTCCGCAGTGAAGGATAGGATAGTGTTGTTAATTTGCTTGGTCGTAAAATTTACGACCAAATTTTGTGCTCAGGCCGACCCGGGGTTCAGACCCGGGGTCCAGACCCGGGGTTCAGACCAGGGGTCCAGACCCGGGGTCCAGACTTACACCTTGGGGTTGGGCTCGGATAAATGAAAAGTAAAAAAAAATATTTCATTTTCTAATCTTAAATTAAATCTTATTCTTCTTATCTTATTCATTCTAAATTAATAAAGCTTTTTTTATTATTATTTTCTTACCATTTTCTTTCTTTTGATAAAAAATTTATATGGTAAAATAAAAATATATGTAATAAATATTCAAAAAGAGTAGCCCATGCATGACGGAATAAAAATAAAAAAGTAAAATTTTATTTTAACACATATTGATATTGTAATTTAATGTGGAGGACCAATATAAAAATTCAACGTCATTCATGCATGTATAAATAATAAAAAGAAATGTAAATTTATAATTTGTGATAAAATAATGGCCAATAAAAAGTTTTTCTTTATTATATTAAAGTTATATTCCCAATAATATATATGTCATAATTTTTAAAGGGATGTCAACTATCCAGGATCACCACGGGTTTTAAAGGTATAACTAATAAATTTGGGTTTTAAGTAGGTGTATACCGATATCACTTTTTGGAGGCCTATCCGATCCGATATTAAATTGATATCGACCGATTACCGATCCGATATCATATCTAATTTTTATGTCATTTATTTAAATATATTATAATGATCAGTTATAGTTTTTATTCAATTCTATTGCAATTCTAAAAGTATATAAAATATTTTTATTGTTAAATAACTTTTATATAAATAAGTAACATTAATCTATATATAATAAATAATAAACATATATAATATGAAATTTGAATAAAATTTTAAACAATATTTAATATTAATAAATCGAAGATTTCTTATTGGAAATACCAAAATTTACTTATTTATCAGAAATCAATTTACGTTTACGGCGATGTTAACTGTCAAGTTAATTAATATCACCAAATTCACTAAAAAAAGATTCTGAAGAGATTATCGCAAACTTTTATAAACAGAATGTGCATAAAAATAACAATATGGCAGAATGATTAATTAATTATTATTATTAAAAAAATATGGATTTCGATTTTATTTATTAAAATAAATGACTATTAAAAACTTAAGAAATTGTTGAGAAAATTTTTGTTATTTTTTAAAAACTTCCTGTAATTTAACTTAAATAATTATTTTTCAAATGGTTCTTCAAACCAAATAACAAAACAAGATCCATATAATTGAGGTAATTACTAGTTTTTTATTTAATATATTTCACACACAGCCTCTTTAACTCACATACGATATGATATATCAAAAAGGAAATTCGATCTATATCATAGTGTTGTTAATTTGCTTGGTCGTAAAATTTACGACCAAATTTTGTGCTCAGGCCGACCCGGGGTTCAGACCCGAGGTCCAGACCCGAGGTTCATATTATTTTTATATGTTAAATTTTTTATTCCGGAATCTAGACACGGGGTTCAGAACAGATATATGTAAAGTAAGATAAAATAAATCTCATATCTAATCTTAAATTAAATTAATATTATTATACCTTCTAAATTAATAATTCAAAGCTTTATTTTATTCTCTTTTTTCTTTTTTGTTTGTAAAATTAATTATAATAAATAACACATTTATTTAAAAAGTTATTTAACTTTAATTAAATAAAATAAACTATATAAATTGATTTAATTTTTTTTATAAATTTCAAATGTTTTATTTTATTTATTTTTCATTTCTTAGTTATAAATATAATATCGTCAATAGTTTTTCTTTTTTATTAATTTTAATGTCAGCTTATTAAGCTTGGTTTTAAAAAAATATTTTATTTTGATTTCGCGGCTTTGTCCACGTGAAAGAAACATGCATATATTTATATATATATATATATACTAAATGGGGGTGAAGTGCTAGTAGAAATAAATTTATTTTTAAAATTTGATTTAAATAAAAATATATACAATAGAATATAAAATACAATATTAATTATATTTATATAATTTTTTCATAAACACGAATCGAATGCATCTCATCTTGCTCGTGGATATAGACTCCAGCCTAAAAAATATTTAAAATATAAAAAATCCGGTCAGAAAGTTCGTATCTAATTCTGAACTAAGATCAGGATGGTATAGAAATAATCTATAAGCAAACCTACATAATAATTCATTTTTATTATTTCCAAGCCCTAAGAGTCCCCGATTAAAATTTTTTTAGTCATAAGCTGAGTTGCTTGCAGGATTTTCCTATTTAAGTTCGATATTATTGATAAATAATTTTAATTAAAATATTTGAAACAACATTATTTATGGGGTTCGACTCGAGTTAATGCTGGCTTATTTCTTATATAAATATTGCTAATTTAGATCGCAGTAATTTTATTAGACCCACCTCGGGTTTGGGATTTACACAACCAAGACCAACCAATTAAACAACACCCATATCGATATTTTGTGTTAATAAAAATATACCTGACCCCCCCCCCCCCCAGGACTTATACCCGCCCTGTATGAGTGATCATTATCATTATTATTATCATTACAAAAAAATATTTTTATTTCCATATAAAAAATATTAATTTTCACCCCCCCCCCACTTTCACCCCCCCCCCCTACCCCATCCACCTCCAAAACCAAGTCATTCATACCCATCAAGATAAAAAATGAATACTTTCAATCTAAAGATATTTAGTTTAGAAGATTATATTTTACCCATATATCGATATTTTGTTTTGATAAATTATTCCTGACCCCCCAAGACCTAGTAGACCCGCCCTGCCCTCTTTCAGTCATTATTATTATTGCAATAAAAAATATTTAATTATTAACTTGTTTATTAAATCGTTACACGACACGACCCCGGGTCTGGAACCCCGGGTCTGGGCCCCGGGTCTGAACCCCGGGTCTGAACCCCGGGTCTGGACCCCGGGTCTGAACCCCGGATCTGGACCCCGGGTCTGAACCCCGGGTCTGAACCCCGGGTCTGAACCCCGGGTCTGAACCCCGGGTCTGGACCCCGGGTCTGAACCCCGGGTCTGGACCCCGGGTCTGAACCCCGGGTCTGTGCTCAGAGCTGGTTTGGTCGATTTTTTAGACCCAAACCCCGGGTCTGGTTTTATACAACCAACCAATTAACAACACTAGGATAGGATATAACAATATATTTTCTCTGTGATATAAAATCTGATGTAATATAATCAGGGGCGTCGCTAGCCTTTAAAATCTCAGGGGGTTCAGCTGAAAAAAAATTATGGGAGGCTTCGCCCCCCATACCCTCCAATTTGCGGGCCTTTGGCCCGCTTTTGCCCGGGTTTTATATTAATATATTATACATTTTTAAAATTACACTAGACAATTATTCTGAATTTCATATTTTGTCATTTATAATATTTTGCTTATAAAATAAACCAGCATATAAATAATTAAAACAATACAAGACATTTCTAAAAAAAATATTTTATAATACAAAATCTATTTATTTCAATATAAAATATTTACGATTGCCGATATAAAAAAATTTTGCGTAAAGAATTACAAGTGATAAAAAGGTGAATTAATTCATACATATGCCCCAATTGATAATGGTTTTTAAAAACACATAAGGCTATATAATTCTCGCAAGTTACATTGACAAAAGGTCATGAAACTAATATAACTCTCTGTTACCATTTTAGACAATGTTTTATAGAATAGACTAATAAGGAAAATTTATAGGCCTAACCAAATCAACAATTCTTGAAGAAGAAAATATAAACTATCAATCCAAATCATAAAACTATATGGTGGCTAGAGCTTCCTCTTAGATGACATGATGGAAGCTAGATAAGTAATTGAGAAAATTTTTGTGAGATATTTGTTATGTTCATCATTTTTTTTTATTTATTTTTTTTTTTTTCTCGGAATTATCAATATTATTTTTGATTATCGATTTTTGAAATTTATCAATATTTTTCATGGAATTTATTTTTTCTCGGAATTATAAATATTTTTTTTGATTATCGATTTTTCAGAAATTGATGATTATGAAAAGAAAAAGAATTTGGAAAAAAAATATAATAAAAAATATAAGACATAATAGAAATCGGAAAATATTATAATATTAAATTTTCAAAAGATTATCTTCCATTTTTAATGATAAATAAATGACTAAACAGTTGACCATTATTGTTATCTAAAATATGTAATCATATGCTCTCAGCAGCTATAGTAATAATCTTAAATTACATAGTCATACAAATAATAGATGCTGGTTAATTTGCAGTC